CTGCCTCAGCCTCCCGAGTAGCTGGGACTACAGGCATGCGCCACCATGCCCGGCTAATTTTATATATATATCAGTTGGCCAATTAATTTATTTGTATTTATAGTAGAGACGGGGTCTCGCTCTTGCTCAGGCTGGTTTTGAACTCCTGACCTTGAGCAATCCGCCCGCCTCAGCCTCCCAAGAGCTAGGATTACAGGCGTGAGCCACAGCGCCCGGCTTAAAAACACGGACGTTTTCACACGAGCTAAAAAGAAATTCTTCGTGAAGTTACAAAAGGTGAAATCTTTCAGGAGCGAGTTCTCGTAGGCCGCCACAATAAACAGACTATAAGAAAGTATGCAAGTTTTATAGGTTATGTTTTCGGGCTAATGCTGATGCTACTTTTAAAACATTTGAGAGCTCGGACTAGGAAGCTTGATGAGCAGTGTGGACCGCGCGGGGCTCTTGAGAGCCAGTCGGCAGCAGGCGGCGCGGTTTCTTTCTCTTTACCCTAACTCTGCCACCACTCTGAACAGACTTTCGGGGAAAGACGTTATAAAGCAATATGATGGCAGGGGAAAACTTTAGTTAACACAGCTTTAAAATAAAATTCATAGCGATGAATGTAAAGTCACTTGAATTACACCGGATTTACTGATGCAGATGTCTATTGAAACTGAAAAACAAGCACCACATGCACTCACCAGCAAATTGGTATTAACTGATCAACACCTAAGTGGACATATAGGAATAACATTTATCGGGTGTCGGGCAGGTGTGCGGGGGAGGGGATGGGCATATACATACATAATGAATGTGATGTGCACCACTGGGGGATGGACACGATTGAAGCTCTGACTCCAGGGGGCAGGGGGGTGCAAGGGCAATATACGTAACCTTAACATTTGTACCCACACAATATGCTGGAAAAAAAAATAAATAAATAAATAAATAATTTAAAAAATGAACTCATAAAAAAAAATAAAATAAGATCCATTCTGGGCCAGGCGTGGTGGCTCACGCCTGTAATCCTAGCAATCTGGGAGGCCGAGGCTGGTGGATTGCTCAAGGTCGGGAGTTCGAAACCAGCCTGAGCAAGAGCAAGACCCTGTCTTTACTATAAATAGAAAGAAATTAACTGGCCAACTAATATATATAGAAAAAATTAGCCAGGCATGGTGGCACATGCCTGTAGTCCCAGCTACTTGGGCAAGAACCCCGATCTTTACCATAAATAGAAAGAAATTAATTGGCCAACTAATTATATATAGAAAAAATTAGCCGGGCATGGTGCAGCACATGCTGCAGTCCCAGCTACTTGGGAGGCTAGGCAGCAGGATCGCTTGAGCCCAGGAGTTTGAGGTTGCTGTGAGCCTAGGCTAATGCCATGGCGCTCACTCTAGCCTGGGCAACAAAGCGAGACTCTGTCTCCAGAAAC